TTTTTGCAATTTTTTTCAAAAAAATTTGTTAGGGAAGCGGTTAATTATAACAAATACTGGAAAATGATTTCTGTTAGTCTGTATAAGAATCATGATTTGTATTTGTAAAAAAGTCACATTACATGACTAGATTTATCTGCTATAGACTGTTTTTCTTTGCAAAACAAACTATAATGGGTAATTGGCAACACTACATAACATTATAACAGTATGAAAACGCTAAAGATTTTGTTTCAACAAACTGGGACTCTTCATACTTCCTTCAGGATATCCGTGCTTAGCCCAGAGCTGATATCTTTGGTTACTGAACTACTAGATGTTCTTCTCGAGTTGACTATTTTCTTCTGTAACCTTCATGCTCATTGCACATAAAACCACAATATTTTCCCCTTTATGAAATGCTGTTAAGGATTGTGTGTTTGGGCCCTCTTTGTCGTGTAATTTAGCACAAGTTGAACACCAGTGTTTGCCATGTCACCAGGATTGTACATACCCAGCATTTGTAAGGTGCATATAAAACTTTGATTTTTTTTTTAATATGCTGGTGCCCCTTTTTATATTTATCATAGTTAATATACTGTTCTATAAAGTTTCTAAAGCCATAGGATATTATGAATCACCGTGTCTCTTTTAATGTAAAATGACTTTTGAACTTTGATCAGGTATGTATAATTTTTTCAAACTTAATAAATGTAATTCTAAAGCCATATTATCCCTTTAACTATGCTGCCTTTTCTAAATGCCATAGGTTATTTGTAGGGATATATTATCTCTTGCAATTAGATATCTTTTTAAAGAAAATGTAAAATGTTATATTTTAAAAAAGTTATCCTTGATAAATCTGGTAGTTTTTATATTTGAGTTCACAGCCTTGCAAATAATGAAAGATTTCATCAATTTTTAGAAATTTGCGCTATCAATAAATATTTAACAAATTACAACATATTCTTAGCAAAATACAGAACTTTTGATGCACAGTAGTTAGAAAAATAGTTTAAGTTTTATGATGTGAGGTATAAAAAATACTAGTTAGAAATATGTATTTTTCCCCCGTAATTCCTTATGATAATTTTTATCTGATTTCAAAGTAAAATTAACTTTTGAAAATCAATATTGGCTCAAAAAAGTATTCCTTAGATACTGATCAATTACATCAAATTACTTTATTTAACTCCAGACTAAGTATCTTGCACTTATATAGAAAAATAGAAGATTTTAAATCTTCTATACCACATATGTATGTTCTTGTGGTCTTTAGGGGGGCACAGTGTTTCAATCCATGCATGTAGATTTAATTCAATGTAATATGTACAGAAAATTTGAAATATGTATTCTTATTTGAATTCATTTCAATGCAAATTTGTTGTTAATTTAAAATTATTCACTTTTCCTAGTGTGTTGTATATTAAGTGTGAATTTTTCAAATTTCTTGAGAAATGCTGATGTAAAGATATTTATTTGCTTAAAAGGAGAAAAATTATGTTAATTATCCATTGTTTTGAGTTTCTTTGTGTTTAATTCATGCACATTAGATATATTGGCATTTTGAGAAAATATCTGCCATTAAAGTTCAAGAATTAAATTCACTATAAATTACTTTTTTTAATAAAATCTTGTAATGTATGAATATTATTAAAATTTTATGCATGATTGTCCATTTCTGTTAGGTATCGGTAGATACAAATATGTCATCAGCTGCTCCTAAAGCTGGTGTGTCATCTGGATTGCCAAATTCTGCTCTAGATGTCATAAATTCCGTTGTAAAAAGAAAATCTCCTGACACCCCTATTGAAGAGTCAATTGCAAAAAGACCAGCTCCACAAAATCAGCAGCATGTAAGTATTAACTTCCTTTTTAATTAGTTTTCTGTTCCATACTTATATGTCTTAATAAAAGTAAGTATGTAACTACTGTGTACTGAGATTATTGATTAAATCTTATTTCATAGGCACATCTGGCTGGTCAGAACCCAATGCTTGCATCAATGTTGGCTCAGACACCAAGAACAGCACCTTCTGTTCCTACCAGTGTAGCCAATGCCATTGTGTCGCAGCTACCTCAAGAACGATTGCCAAAGAACCTTGAAAAGAAATTGGTGCACACACCATATACTGCAGCTCCTACAAGTGGCACAAGCTCAGCTTCGAACAGTCAGTATAGTTTCAGTCAAGTACAAGTGGGAGCACGCAGTCTTTTATCAACTTCACTTCAACAGGAAGTATTTACTGCAGATTCTCGAGGGCATGTTACTCTTGCCCCACAAAATACACCGTCAAACTTTCAACAGGCTTCTAATTTTTTTAATAAAATGCTCCCTTCTGGTGAAAATAACCAGTCTGTTAATCTGCAAGTTGGCAATTATGGTAATCATTTTGCATCTAATTCACAACCACATCTGTCTCTACATTCAACTTCAAATTTATTTGATGGCATCGCTGAAGCTACCAATGATTCTAACAATATGGTCAATACTTCAGATCCTTTATTATCAGATATTCTTGATCAGGTATGTGTAATTTTTTGTTAATGAATAAGCGTAATAATACATAAACGAGTTTACAGGTTCCTTCTGTTTTATATTGGCACATTTATTTTTGGTAAAAGAAACTTATTCTTCTTATTTGTTTTAGGTTTGGAGTATGGAACAAGACATGCATTTAGACAGTACAGTTGCTGATGATTTAGCATTGTATAAATTACTGGAAGATATCCCTGATACACTACCTGTTGCTAGTCCCAAACCACCTACTACTCATGATGTAAATGAAAAAATGGCCATCAATGCTATTCAGAGGCAGCTTATGAGTTTTGAAGTACCTGGTTCTCCTACTGTACCTAGGCATTCTCCTCGTTTTCAGCAGCCTTCGTCAGCTGCCATGAGTATGACTCAATCTCAAATGGCTCCAAGTTCATATTCGCAAATGAGCCAATACCAAGCTGCTCCACCAGCATATACAATGTCTAATCCAACTCAGAGGACTCGAACACCTAATATGCATGTTGTCCAAAATAATGCTGTAAATATGGTACCTACTTCTCAGCAAATGGTTCAAATGAATAGTCAACGCCAAGTTTTACCACACTATGGGCCAATTACATCATTGAATGATCTTTCACCTCAGGTATTTAGACCTTTTATTATAATTCTTGCTTGCATCATGAATAATCTCTTTAACACTTTTGCGTTCTTGCATGCATCATGAATAATCTCTTTTAACACTTTTGTGTTGACTGTCACACATAGGTACCAGCAAGAACACATTCATATCCTGGCTGGCACACCAGATTTTTTCTCATTCACCCTCTTCCCCCATCACACATTTGTGCCATTGTCTAGGAACGTTTTAAAAAGAATAACTAATAACACAAGAGGGTATTGCATGCGCATAGGATCTGAGGTATATATATATATAGAGAGAGAGAGAGAGAGATAGATTTGACCTTGTACTTCAAAGGATAGAAACGGACTCGCTCAGGGGAGGAGGAAAAGCATAACGTAAATAAAAAAGAGTTGTTTCTTTAGCTGGCCATGTGATATAAACATTTGTGTTTCTGATATCCCTCTGAACCCTTTTTTTATTCTTTTTGTCACTAGTTTGTAGGATTACTGTGTGAAGTTGTTATCCTTTGATCCTTTGATTTCGGATTCTTTGCTTTTTATTTTGGAAAGCCTTGACTGCAGTTTATTATGGGGTTAAAGCATTATTAATCAGAGGAAGGATATACTTGCTGAGTAAATAAGCCAGTTAGTGAGGTGGATGAGAGTCAGGACTCGTTTTGAGGGATATTTCTAGTGGTTCTGATATGAGCTCCGAGTACCTGCCTTCCTGTGTAACTTCCTGTGAAAGATTTTGTTACTTTTTCTTGTAAATAGTCTTTCTTATACTATTTTAATTAATTTTGAAGTTTATTCATTTGTTTTATCTGTTCAAATTTTGGAATAATTTGAATAGCTCATCCGAAAATTATTTTTAAAGTAAGCATTTTTTAAAAATATTTTTTCATTTAAAGTAAAGAAAAAAAGACTATGAAATGCTTATTTTGATGTATATGATAGCTTAATAATCTAAGTGGTACCAAAGATTATGACATTAAGATTTAAACTTTTTTGGTATATTTTATTCTAAAGTTGAGCTTAGAGATGCAAAACCTATGTCCTGTAGGAGCATTCCTTTTGACTCCCCTCCATCCCGAGTGAATATCTTGAACAAAGGTGTGCTGTCTGAAAAGTGTTAAAAGTGTGATTTTCTGTACACCATATTATCATACTTATAAAAAAAGGAACATTTTTGTTATGGAACTTTAACCTGATTTGCTATAAACTTTCTCCATTAAGAAAATTCAATCACTGGTATCTTTACTTGCTAAGCTTGCTAATCTTTACTTGCTAAGCTATATTTCATCTTATTAAAGTCTAATTAATCATGAGGTTTACTAATTACTGAATAAATTTTTCTTCAACTCTTAGATCATTAAGCAGTACCAAATTGAATACTAAATGCATAGCAGGAAATTGACATTGCACATTAATGCAAAACTGATTCTGAACTTAAAAAAATTTATTGAGAATTGAAATTCATTGAAAATTTTGCTGACTAATTGTAGTGAAAATTGCATTTTAAAACATTAGAATGCCGACTGAAATTATATCTTACTCCAGGAAGAACTATTGTGTAATGTGGTTGTAACAAAATTATTTTTACCTTTTTTCAATAAAATGTGTAGAGATAAATAAATGGTAAACAATTTAAGTTAAATGAATGAGAAATAATTAAATAAAAATGTGTTCTCATTTTATTTGGGCTCTAACTGGTTAATTTCATTCAAATGCTAGAAAACATTGGAGCTGTGCTGCATTGGGCACCTGTTAATTTGTCAATGCCTGTTCATGCTTATATTAAGAAAATAATGTAAACTCTATATTGTATGATTAAAGTGACTTCCAATAATTTATAATTCTTAAGTATGTGTAATTTAATTTGCTTGTTCTTTTAACAACATTTTGTTGTAACAACATGCACAATTTATTTTAGATGAGACGACATCTTATTGAACATAGACAGAAAATATATCAACAACAGCAGCAAAAGAGGTTACAAATGCAACAGAAACAGCAGTTGTCCCTTAACACAAGGCAGTCAATACCTGATAATATCTCCAATATGCAGTCTCCAGCTTCAGGTCCTTTTAATGAGAATATGAATGACCTTATGAATAACACTGTTGCTCCAAATGTGACATTACAGGTTTGTGTTTCATTATGCATTAAATTGGTTGCTTTTGTGGTCAACTTTTTAAAGTTAAAAAATTCTGTTATGCAAATGTGTTTTCTGTACCATGAATGTCTCTAGGTTTTGATTGCCAATGTATATAGTAAACGTTTTTATGATGATATATAATTCTGCATTTTTAATAATTTTAGAAAATATTCAATTTTTTAAAACCATGTATATCCTTTAATCATAGTTTTCATAAAAATGTTAATTTCTTGGGCTCTTAAAGTTTTGAACTTTTCAGAAATGTAGAAATTTTTTTGAAGTAAAATTATTAATTTTTCTTAAAAATATTTCTTCTTTGGTATGTTTGGATGCCAAATAAAATAACTGAATTCAATTTTTTCAGAGATCTGTTAGTATGCCTGATTCACAGCTATCTCCCAGATTCTCCAATATGCAACCAATGCCTAATTCAGCTGCCCCACCTCCCAGTCCATCTCAGCTTTCACCTGGCCAACGTCAGCAGCCACCTTTCTCACCAATGTCCCAATCGGGCTATCCTAACAATTACCCGCAATCCCGACTTTCACCTCACATGCAGTCTCAGTCTGGTTCCAATCAAGCTTGGGTGCAGAGGGCATCACAAAATTCAGCTAATCTTCAGCAGCTGAATCCTATGCTTAATGCCCAACTTTCACAAGTAAATCTCAGTACTTTCTTATTATTGTGTTCATTATATGTAATTCTAATAAACGTTTTTTTATGCAGCAATGTTCCCCACATCCATGAGCCGTGTTTCAAGATATTTTGTGTTTTATATAAAATCATGAATACTGTGGTATGTTGCATGCGATATTTAAACATATAAAGTTTGTTAAATAACACACTGTAAAACGTCAAATGAAGTAATGTAAAAATGAATTGTGTTCTGCAGGGACATAGAGTAATGAAGAAATATATTGTAAATGTAATGTGTATGTAATATTATGAATAGCTTCATAATATGAGGAATAACAAATTCATCTTAAGTTATGCTTTGCATCAGAGAACCATGCAAGAAATGGAGTGTTAGATGAATTTGCATATAAATGTACTCAAAATTAGAATTTCACTGTGACACAATTCTAACTGCTGTTATATTATATTTCATCTTATTAAAGGTTATGCTTGTTTGATGTACATTTTCTAACTAATAAACCATTTTCGAGTAAATTGCAGGTAGCTGAAAATATGGACACTAATTCAGTGGGTATGAGAATATGATTTTTGTTATGTTAGTTTGGCAGCACTTGTTCCTGAAGTTGGAATTCTACTGTTATTGAGACCGGATTCAGAAATGTGTGTATGCATGTATGTCACATACATGTGCATATATGTGTATACACACATGTATTCATGTATATGTGGACACATACGGTCATACATACGTACATTTATTTGACATTGTCCTGATAACAGAAGAGTACCCTGAAGTTTCTACCCTTTTTAAGTTAGAATAAGTAATGAATTAAAAATTGCTGTGTAAATTTAATATCTCTCTATATATAATACAAGATTAACTATCAACAATTATACGGCACGTTGATAAACATTTCGCTTTAGGACAACAGGACAAACAAAAAATATTGTCTTTTTTTATTTATGCATGTACATCTTAATGTGGGTAGCACCCCCTCCATCTAAGCCAAACCTTGTTCTGATCATTCTTATGCTGTGATCCATATTCATTAAATTTCAAGGAGTGTAGAATAATTTGGAGAATATATTTTTTTTTTACTTACTTTCTTCTTTGTAATAATCTTGAAAGTTTCTTGTTATAAGAATCTAATTATCTTGTATAATAAAAAAATGAATGCAGTATTTCATTGCTTCATACAAATGGACATATTTTTGTCACATACAATTTTTAGTTTTCATAAGTAGAAATTAATTTTTCGTGTTAAACTATCAAATACAAATCCTGAGAGGAAGTACCGACATTAAGAAATGCTTCTACTCTTAAAAGTTATGAAGATTTCTGATTATTGTTTCATTATAAAGAATCGTATTATGTGATTACTATTAACATTTTGGCATCTCAGGAGCATAAATAATTAACCATTAAAGTTTAATGTTAGCATTAAAGTTTACCTACTCTCCTTTCTCGCCTGAAAGTGCCCCACCATTGGCCTAGTAGTTTGACCTGAGTTAAAAATTAGGTGAATGGGTTGGTTGGCTGCATGGTTGGTTTTCTTGTTCTTCCCCTTGTGCAACATGGATGCGAGCTAAGTCATTCAGTTTATCTAATAAAGGGCCGTATTTAAATAAATGCAGTTTTAACCTTAAATGCATTACTAAAATTTCTTACATTTTAAAAATTATTTTGGGAACTCTTTCACACTATCAATCAAATCATAAATTTTCCTGTACTTGAATTGAAGAAATATTATTATAAAAATTATCTCCAGATTAAAGCTCATGTTATTTCCAGATTCTTATTTTGCACTTTGAAACTTTCTGATTTTGGATACTCTTCAGAGCACAAGTATCTTCAATTCGGCATTACACTCAAATCATTTATAATTAGCATTCCCCGCTATATGGTGTAAAAATAAATGAATTTTCTTTGTGATTTGTGAATATGAGGCAGAAATTTCCAAAACACCACCATATTAAGTATAAAGAAAATGATTGTTAAAAAAGTATGAAAGATAATTCCTCAGATACAAGATGTTCCTCCCTTTTTTTTTCAAAGCGTTTAAAGAAAAAGAAAGGGCTTGTAGATAACAGTTTTATATGATACTAGCTTTACCCACGGTTTCGCTCATGTTGCTGTCCTTAAAATAAGTTTCAACTCCGTGTGAATTTAAAAAAATACACTCCCCGTAAAATTTCAGTAAATATTGCCCTTCTTCAATACCCATAGGCTGCGGATATTTTGTATTTACGCCTGGCCAAAGGGTTAATTTTAAAAATGAACATTCGAGCTCCCTAAAATGGTAAAACGATAGTTGTTATCACACACAATACAATGTAAAGAATATAAAATGTAAATGCAATTTTTCAAGCAATGATAACAAATATATAACATGAATGAACAGATCTTTAAAAAAATATGAAACAAAACATTAAATATATCACATAAGTCGAAATGTTGATAATAGTTTCAAGTGTCAGTAAGTTAACTAGAAGTCAGGTTATTAATTTTTAAATGATTTTCTACATGAAAATCCGTGAACTTTGTCCTTTTCGCCAACCCAATGGTTGACCTGATACCAGCTACCCCCCCTTCATCGCTATCGAATTGCAGCCTGATAACAAAGAGTTAGTAATAGCAAGTGGAGTATTGTTTCATCTGCGATTAAGCTGGAAATAACTAAGTGGCCAAAAAAAGTTCCACCACCATTGTTCCTATCATTCAGAGTACAACACAAGTTTCTAAATTTCAAGAAATTTGAGTAATTAGATCAAAAGTTATAATTTTTATAACCAATTTATTGGACCCACACGGGAGGACCTAAGAAAAAATCCTTAATGTTGCTATTTAGTCTCATTCAAATTAGCGTTTACAGAGTTTTTAATTAATATCTCAGCTGATTAAAGTCGTACGAAGATGAGAATGATATCTATGTATTCCTACGAATATTTGGAATCTGGGGATATGTGTCTCAAAATTCAACTAACCTCCGTTCCATAGATATTTGTGAAAAAATAAATTGCTGTGTAGCCAAATCCCTTTAACTGGGAAAAACCCAACAAAGTAAGTGAAAAATGTAGGGGAAAAGTAGATTTGAATTATTAACTCGGAAGACATTTTATAGCCTATAACCTTTTCTAATACATCAAAAATATTTCTTGAAAATGTCATGGTGATCGGTTAAATAATTAATGCATGAAAGCGTAACAAGCAAACAAACACACATACAAACTCATTTTTGCATTTATAACATTAGCAATGATGGGTTCAGTCTGTTAAAAATATCTATTACAAATGGCCTAATCATGAAGCCTTTTAAAACGAGTAGCTTCTTTCTCCCATAAATGTAAAAGTAACCTTAATTTGTAATGTTAGGTTGTACATATATCACATGGTTTTCAGAAAAGCCTTTAAAAAAATGTCACTTTCAAGCCACTGTGGTGTTTATTTTTATTTATTATCGCAAAATAAAAGATGTCTAAAAAAAATTTCCTGTTCCATTTAATGCTTACGTTGAATTTGCGTGTATCAGAAATAGCATTACCGATATTTAAGCAATCCATACATTGTATTGCATTGCACTATTTGTTTTCAATGTTGTTGGTCTTCAGTTTGGTGTTTTGAATTGTTTGATTTTCCCACGAATTGTTATTAAAGACTTACCTCATTGCTACAAATGAAGCAAGGTTAAGCAAGTATTGTAATTTTTTTCCGAGGTGGGGGATAAGCTGAAATATTATCAATAAGTCTCTCTTTTCTGGTTTTTAATTTTTTTGGGGCAGGGGAGAGTTGTAATCGCATGAGCAAGGTAAGAAAATGTACCTGAAAAGATAAAGTGAAAAACTTGTTGAAAATGCAGAAGTATCATTTGAGAAAAGACTTTTTATTTTTCTCTTTACATTAAATTGCTTTGCTTCAAGACAAACGTGAATAGAGTGTGTGCTTAAAAATTCCAGTATTTTATAGCAGAATATATGAGGTCTCATTTTTTTTTTTTTTTTCAGAATAAAATAAGTGTTCTGTTTATTATTTTTGGCATTAGCATCTTTATTATTAATTATTTATTTTCTTGGCTATGCTAGTTATGATTACTAGTGCAGAATAATTGGTATTGTTGTCCATCTATGATCTGTAGCTATGTAGCAAAAAGTTAACAAATGTGTTCAAAAACTAGCTTTACAATAGTAAAAGTCTCAGGTTTAAATTGAGTAAGGGTGAAACCGCAGTGTTAATAAAATGTTCATAGGGAAATAGTTCTTTATGTTCTTAAGGTCAGGAAATTTAGAAACTTGTAATATATTTAGGGTTATTGTTTTGTTTTACTGACTTCTCCCTTCTGTCTTTAGCAGGCTTCTTTTGCAACGCAGGCACGATTTTCGGCTCAACAGCAGCAGCAACAGCCACGCCAGTTAATAGTTCGCTCTATGCCTAGTCCTGGTTCCAGAAATTCACCTTATTCCAATCCTCCTGATTCACCATTTCATCCACCTTCACCTGGTGTGGCATTATATCAACAACAGCCTACTGCACTACCGCAACAGCCAGCACAACCCCCTCCACAAAGGCTTCAAAGAGCAGTATCCATTCCAAGTATGTATTCTTTATTTTGGTATAAAACATTTTTATCAAGGAAATATGGAGAATTATATATTTGAAAATATATACGTGATGTGAAAGAACTTCTTAAATATATTTACATTGCTAACTACATGATTCTATCAGTTACTCATTGTGTAACATTACCTAATGTTGTATAATATATATTTGATTTTTTAATGTTTTTTTAGACTTTTATGTCTCAAACTTAATAGGGATGCCAAATAAACAAATTTGAATGCTATGTAATGGTTCCTTTACAGTTTAAGAACAAATAGTATTGGTAAATGAATATTCTAGTTGAATAAAGGTTTAAATTTGATAAAGTAATGTAAAATAACAGGACGTGCTGGATATTATGCATGAATTGTAATATTTTTAATCAGGGTGTTCTAAAATAAATTTTTTCAGTAATTTTTATAATGATTTGATACAGTACAATTATAGTTACTTGGGAAATTAAAAAAAAGGACTACTGATTAAATTGATCATCCAAGACTGAAATGTATTAAGTCATGATAAAATACATGAATATAAACTGCTTATGCAGTTATTTCAGTACTTAAAAATTCATGAGGCCTGATGCATTTGGATTTGAAATATTCATGTCATGCATACTTTTTAAAATATGTATTTATCATAAAAAAATTAAATTTCTTAGTGGCAGAGCCGTCTGTGTGTGTGTGTGTGTGTGTGGTGTTTTGTTTGTTTGTTTGTTTGTTTTCTGGTGACAGTTTTGTGGTGATTTAAATTTGATAAAGGAATGTAAAATAACAGGACGTGCTGGATATTATGCATGAATTGTAATACTTTTTAATCAGGGTGTTCTAAAATAAATTTTTTCAGTAATTTTTATAATGATTTGATACAGTACAATTATAGTTACTTGGAGAGATTAAAAAAAGGACTACTGAGTTAAATCTGATCATCCAAGACTGAAATGTATTAAGTCATGATTAAAATACATGAATATAAAAATGCTTATGCAGTTATTTCAGTACTTAAAAATTCATGCAGGCCTTGATGCAATTTAGTGATTTGAAATTATTCATGTCATGCATACTTTTTAAAATATGTATTTATCATAAAAAAATTAAATTTCTTAGTGGCAGAGCCGTGTGTGTGTGTGTGTGTTTTTCTGGTGACAGTTTTGTGGTGATTGCAAACAGGTTCATATCATTCCTTTCAGCAATTTTGCAACAAAATATGGTATTCCTGAAGAAATTGTACCACACTTTTTCAGTTGGAGGCTAATCCCATGGGCACGTGCTTTAAAATCAAATTAAAAAAAAAAAAAAAAATATTAGGATTTGTATGGGCAGACTGGCATTAGGGGCAGACAAGCCGGGCCCCTGCCCGGGGCAGCAATCTTAGGAGGCAGCAAATTGGCTGTAAAATTAACTAATTTATGAAGAAAATAAACCAAGATTCATTTAAATCTTATGAAAAATTAATGTTAAATTTTAGTAAAATATATTATTAATAGATATAGCATATATGTATATATGTTAATAATATATTTATGTTTAATAACTTTTAAGTATTTTACATGTCAAAATATTTCAAATTCAAGGAAACTGCTCACAAGAATAATAAATTCCCAGTTAAACATAGCTTAAAATGTAAACAAAATCGCTCTTTTTATTATAATTTAAATAAATGGACACACATACAAAGTGCTGTAATAGAATTTTTTACCGTGTGTCATAATTTGTTGAAACTTATAAAAATGCGGGCGGGTGCGAAAAATCAGTCCTGACAAGCTTTCACACACTTTGAACCATAACCATAAAAGGAAAAAAGGCAGTACTATCGCTTTATTTATGGAATAATTGCCTTGCAGATTGTTTGCTAGTGAAGTAGAGTGCTTTATAATACAATTGCTATTTACCAGGCCTTTTTTAAACTTGTGTTATGAAAGTAAGTTGAGTAGAATAATTAAAAAAATATTCAGTTTTTCTCAAGAAATATTTAAATAGCTTCTACAGGATGTTTCTTTTTAAACGAGGCTTTTTCTTGTATTTTTTACAGACTCCAAAAAAAGAGGAGGTTATCAATTCGATCCCCCCCCCTTTTTTTTTTATGTTTGTCTGGCGATTACTTCAGCATATCTCAACCAATTTGAATGAATTTTTTTTGTTTGATAGGGTATGTTAGTGGATTGATACCATTGTTAAAAAGGTGGTTTAAAATGCCATCATCTAATTTTGGGGGTAACATTTAGGGGTTGATAAAAAATAAAGGTTTCGGAAAATAATTAAAATTTTATGGGAGTAAAGCCATTGGGGATCCAAATAAAATGCAAAACTAAAACTTTTAAAAAACTAACCCCTTCGCATTTAGCCACATGCCAATAAGCCTATTAATTGTAAAATCTTTCCTCTCCACTTTATGCTTTAGTGTTTGTTGTATTGTGTATATAAAAAATATAAAATACAAAAAAAAAAAAAAAAAAAAAAAAAAAAAAAACTATAAAAAATTCAAAATTCAAAAAATGATTAAAAATCTAAAAACTTACAAAAAAATATGTATTCTTAAGTTTTATAAATTCTCTCTATCCGTAACCTTTCTCGAGCCATGTGGCTCCCTCTTAGTGAGCATCAAGTTTACTACTTATGCAATTTTCCTTTTTCTGCTCGCTTTTATGTAATTCTGATGAGGGGTACATGGTTTTGAACCATAGGCACTCCGTAACTTTTGATCATTGGCATTGGCCTTCGCGTTTAGAGTTAATATTAAGGGATGGGAAAAAAATTAAAGTTTTCTGATTTGAATGATTTCTTTTTTGTGTATGATAGGGTGTGTTACCGCATTGTTAAAAAGGTAGTTAAAAATACCAAGTCCTAATTTTAGAAATGACATTTAGGGGTTGAAAAAATGCTAGTTTCCGAAAATAATTCAAAAAGCCACTGGGAATCCAAATAAAATGCAAAATTAAAACTTTAAAAAAGCTACCCCTTTCGTATTTGGGGTTAGTATTAAGGAGTGGGGAAAAAATTAAAGTTTTCCAATTAAACAAGGTTTACTTCCCCCCCCCCAAAAAAAACACAAGGCACCCGATTAAAATAATATATATGGATTTACTTTACATTACTTCAGTGAAGTAGGTTAAAAATAATTTTATAATCTTTAGTGCTTTTTTTTAAAGTCTGTTCTATACTTTTAAAATTTTTATTAAAAGGGTTTTTGAAAAATGCCCAATAGGGAATACATTAATCCATTGGTATAAACCAAGATCTTTCTAAAATTGTTTGCGAAATATTTTTACTGCTTTAAAAATATATATATACAGTCAAAAGTCGTTAATTCGGACACCCATAATCCGGACCTCAAAGCTAAAAACTGTCTGCGCGTGCGCCACGTTGACACATGCGCATAGGCGTTTACGCGTGCGCGTAAGACATTTTACGACTGTGCATATGCGTGTGAGCAAGCGCAGAAAACGTTTTCGCGTGCACGTTTTATGTATAACAGGCAGTATAAGCTAAAATTATCTAATTAACTGTTTCAGTTAATGTTGATGATTGCGTTGTTCCTCAATCTTCGAATTGGATCCGGCTTATTACTTTTTGCAGACTGTAAGAACAATTTTATAAAAGTAAACTTGAACTTTAGATTATGTCAAATAGAGTTTCCGATTCTGGAGCTCCCAAAGGATCGTACAAAAAGAAACTATGTTTCAATGTCCATCAAACAAAAAGTGGAATTGCTGCAAAAAATGGATAAAGACATGAAGAATGGGACAGAGAGGTTAGTGAAAACGAAAAAATTTCGATGGACATGTTAGTCGGTATTCTCGGCACAACAAAAAACGGGACTTGGAACAGCGGAACTTTGTAACTGAACAAGAAATTATGTCTGTTTATAGTTTTAAAGAGAAAGTATTATCACATAAAACGAAGCAACTTAAACAACTTACATTGAAAGAAATGTTTAATAAAGTAAACAAATAAATATTAAGCTGCTTTTTTTTTTTTTTTTTTTTGTAAATTTTGATACTCTTTAGATTATAATTGCTCTTTATTTCATAAATTCATAAATTATGTTTTCATATTTTTAATTTTAGAATTTCTGCATGCCATCTTTATGAGATTTAAACTGATGATCGATAATCCGGAATCGCCAAGTCCCGACCAGTCCGGATTAATGACTTTTGACTGTATATATATATATATATATATATATAATTTGCTTTTTAAATTTAAATTTGGATAAGTTTGATAAATGTATTGGCTTTGTTTAGGGTATAGTGTTAAAAAAAATAGTTTCTAGTCTATGGCTGACACTTAGGTTTTAATCAAACCTTGAAGTTCTTGTGAAGGTTTAATTATATCCAAAACGCCAGTCATGGTCAAAGTTTTTTTTACGTTTTACCTTAAACAAAGCCAACAAAATATCGCCTTTTAACATTAAAAAAATACTAAAAAATGTCTCTGTTTTGTTTAAATAAAACACAATGATTTTTTTAGCGAAACATTTTCTTAATTTTAATTGTTTTTGCTTTTGGAATATCTGATGGGCATAAGAGATTTTCGGGTGCTCAGTATAAAAGAAAAAGAGTCGAAAAGCAAGTTCAAATTCAAAAACAGCCTGGAAGTCTGTTAAGTTATCTACAATGCATGAAAAGGAACGATGACGACAGGAATATTAGAAGCTGCTTCAGATCTTAATTATGAAGCCATTGCCAATCAAGATACTGATATTGCTCAAGTCGAGCTTACTCCAGGAACATCCACTGAACCAAATCTAGGGACATTTACTGAACCAACTCTAGGGACATTTACTGAACCAACTCCAGGGATGTCTACTGAACCTACTTCAGGGATATCTAGAGAAGAGACATTTGGTACAATAATAAATTCAGATCCGGGTTCCTGGCCAACTAGCTTATCAGAAGAAGAAATATATTTTTTTGGTAAAAGAAGGGCTATCTCAATTATTAAAGGAATACAGTTTTCCATATAATGATAACGGTCGAAGATTTAGCGCTCTTC